AAATGCACGCGAACGCCGACTACCTGGCGACCTTCGATCTCTTGAGACAAAATTCGTACATGCTCGACCGCTCTGGCTTCAGAGAATCGATCAAGAGGCGCATCAATTGCAAGCGGCTTAACAAACTTCATGTGAACAATGGAGTGAGCCAGCATCGACATGAGGCCATACATAACAGCTAAACAAAGCAATAGCTTAAAGGCAGCCGCATCATCAGAATTTAATCCGAACGCCATCTTCACCAGCTCGACGATCTGAATCTGAACTCTGCAAAATTGGCGCGACAGTGATACTATGAACTATTCGTATAATCCAATTTCTTCGTGCCGTTGTATTTATACGCGACACAGTGATTAAGATGAAGATTATGCGCTGATCATCGTTTAAGAGCTGATCAAACGACGCCGTATTAAGGGGAATGTGGAAGGGTTATTCTGTGCTACGCGTCTATTTTGGAGATGCGTGTTGATTTAATCGTAGCCGTTTAAATCAGTCATGCGATTTTGATTGTGATCAGTATAGGACGTTTGGTTTTATGATTTTAGTAATTGCATGTTAAGTCATTTCCTCTCGCTTGCCCTTTCACACTCCATTCTCTCTCGTTTTCTCGTTCTATGGGCAAAAAGGTAAAAATTTTCAACGAGCTACTTTTTTTTCATCCTATTCATAAACATTGTGAACGAGAATAACAACGAGGGAACGATAACACAAGAAACAGTGTAGACAATACAGAATCGAGAGGGAAAATGATGCAGGACCGATAGAGCAACATGAGTAAACTCGAGATGAAATAGATAACTTTTCTTCCTGTCAAATGGTAGTGATACGAAATCGAGAGCGAAAAATATCTCATTATTATTATTAGATAGATAGACGGTTACTTACGTAAGATTAGTACATTAGCTTAAACGTCTTTGTACTTACTTTCAATTTCATTTTTTATTTCCGCGAAATCTCTCAATTATTTTTGCGAGAAATTTCTATTTCTTTTATTTAATTGGAGCGCTTTTGAAGAGGAAGAGTACAAAGAATGTTTTACTCGAGAATTGGTCAAGAAATGTAAAGAAGGAGATGAACTATTGAGTAGATGCAACTGCTTAAATTCACCGCTAACCGATATTGTCTGCTCTTGCCCATTACATATTGTCGTCAGTCTCATAGTTAGAGAGAGATTTCCACGTATTCATAAAAAATGTTTTATTCTCTCATCTAGTTAAGAGATCTCACAATCTAGTCTTTGGAGACAACATACTCACTGGCACATTATATGAAATATCATGAGTAATTCTTATTTTTTAAAAAATGAAATTAAAGAATTTTTTAAAATGAAATTGTAATCGAAAATATATTTTCAATTTTTTTTATAATTTAGGTATTATTGAATTTTGTAGATATAGATATTTTTATTAATTTAATTTTAATTATAAATCTAAATGAATAATAATTCGTTTCGTATTTTCAACGCAACGGAGTAAATAACCGCCTGGTTAGAAGTTGGAAGAACTCGGTCGAGAGAGAAATTGTGGCCGACGATCTCTGAAAATGTATCGGAAAGCTATTTTCTTCCTCATTTTCTCTGTTATCTTCTTCATTTCTTGTTCAATTCTCGTCGGAACCGTCGACATCAGATCGTACTTCTTCCCTCTGCTTCAGTCACAGCCAATTTCTTCCTTCCCCTGTGCCGCCGACCCTCCTCTCAGAGTCTACATGTACGACCTTCCCCGTCGCTTCAATGTAGGCATACTCAATCGCCGGAACTTGGACCAGACTCCAGTCACCGCATCCACTTGGCCTCCATGGCCCAGAAACTCGGGGTTGAAGCGGCAGCATAGTGTGGAGTACTGGATGACGGGTTCGCTTTTACACGAAGGTAGTGAGGATGGCAGAGATGCAGTTAGAGTTATGGATCCGGAGAATGCGGATGCTTTCTTTGTGCCGTTTTTTTCTTCGTTGAGTTTTAATTCACATGGACGCAATATGACCGATCCGGCTACGGAGGTTGATCACCAATTGCAGGTACCTTGCAGTTAATTGTACAGATTAAAGTTTGTGGCTCTTCTGGAACTCTGTAATTTTCTATTTTCTTGTTTAGACCCCGCAATGTTCTGTATTCGACTTCACATCCTTGGGTTTGGGAGGGCTTTTCCGAGCGGGATTCTAATATGATCCTCGAAGGCATTGAATTATTTGACTGTAACGTGTCTAGTAGGTTTCAAATTGATTTTGCTACGTTTAACTGATTCTATCGCAGTTCTTGGATTGTGATAATGTTCAATTTTCCATTTACTCTTCAGACGACTGCTTAGTGGCGGGTAAAGTAGATGTAGAAAGGGGGGAAGTTCTATAGTGTTCTTAGAATTGAATTCGATCCAGTTTACCAATCTCAGACCGAGTGAATTTGCAGATCCAGGGATAAACATGCTAGTTTAGTGTAAATCTCGTGGTTGCAAGCTTGTCAATTTCCCACTTCTCATTAATCCATCGCACTAACTAAAAACTTCAGTCGTTGACTTGTAATGAACTCATGGATCTACACGTCCACTATTTAGGAAACTTGTTCATCTGATCACGATGTTTGAAACATTTGTTTGAATTCTTATCTCAGATTTATAGATATGGGTTTACTTTGAATTGTATTCTTCTGATTGTCAGCATCTAATTTGTCTCAATATTAGGTTTCTTGTATTTCAAATATTATATTCTTAGTTTTGGAAGCGTTGAAGAGAAAGTTACATGAAACTGTACTTCAGCCAGTTGATTGGTTTTGATTATTTGACTAATGTTTCCTCAGATTGAACTCATGAAATTCTTGAGCGAATCCAAGTATTGGCAGAGGTCTAAGGGCAGAGACCATGTCATTCCCATGACACATCCTAATGCCTTCAGGTTTCTCCGAAACCAGGTGAACGCCTCAATTCAAATTGTTGTGGATTTTGGCCGCTATCCAAAAGCCATGTCAAATTTGCGCAAAGATGTGGTAGCTCCATATGTGCATGTTGTGAGTTCTTTCATTGACGATGACCCTCCAGACCCATATGAGTCTCGCCCGACACTACTCTTCTTTCAGGGAAAGACATTTAGAAAAGATGTAAGTCGACTGAAGTTTCATGACTGGTCCCCTCCCATTCTAAAATGGGGGAAGTAGAACTTGCGTTTTGACATGAAATTGTTAGTAACTGAATTTGTTAAACATGTTTCAGGATGGCATTATTCGTGTCAAACTGGCAAAGATATTAGGCGGCTATGATGATATTCACTATGAACGTAGCGCTGCAAATGAGAAAAGCATAAAAACGGTACGGTGTGCGTGTTTGCTAAATATTTCTATTTGACTATTTGTATGGGAAAACTTTGTGAATTCTACTCTGCTGGTTTAAATTCTGTAACTATATCATACACCTTAACCAGACCAAACATCCAAACATATTTCTTATCCAAAATTCTTGTTTTATTTTATTTTTTTGTATGCTTTGAATCAATATCCCATACTCCTCTCATCTAAAAGTGTTGCATAAATACTCACGCAAACTTACATGTTGGTTTCTCCTTGGGGTAGTTTTGGATGGCAAGGAAAAGACAATATTAGGTGTCCAAGAAACAAGATAACTTTGTAATACTTGTAGGAATTTTACATTTATAATTTCTGTTCTTCGGGTGTCTAGGAACCTAGTTTCTTTGTATGTCCCTTACTCATAGGTATACAGCTGTGTAGGGTTTTATGGTAAAGAATCCAGTGTATCTCATTCTGTTCTCTTCTTCTGATACTCCAGTCTTCTCAAGGGATGCGGTCATCAAAGTTCTGTCTGCATCCCGCTGGAGACACTCCATCGTCTTGCCGGTTATTTGATGCTATTGTGAGCCACTGTGTTCCCGTGATCGTAAGTGATCAAATAGAGCTTCCATACGAAGATGAAATCGACTACAGTCGATTCGCATTGTTTTTCTCCTTCGAAGAGGCTCTGCAGCCTGGTTACATGGTTGATAAACTCAGGAAATTTCCTAAAGAGAGATGGATTGAAATGTGGAAGCAACTAAAGGGTATCTCCCACCACTATGAATTTCAGTACCCTCCTAAGAAGGAAGATGCTGTCAATATGTTATGGAGACAGGTGAAGCACAAGCTTCCCGGGGTTAAACTCACTGTTCACCGAAGCAGACGCTTGAAAGTTCAGGATTGGTGGTGAAGAAGATGAACACTGAAGTTCTATTTTTCCAGGTCCAGCATTCTAAACTCTCACCTCCCTAACAACTCTTAGGAAATCATAATTTTTGCACCTGTCTTGTGCTGATTTCAATAATCTTCGACATCTCCAGCTTGGTTCGATACGAAACTAGGTTCTAGTCACCGTTCTAATAGTCGATTGATATTGAGTTGTAATTTTCACATTGTTAAAGAAAATTTAGTCACTTTAGTGTGTTCTAATTGTGGAGGCTTGTACAGACGGGTTGAGAATTTTTGGCGATTTTGTTATTGGGCTGCCTGCCTGTAATAGGAATTCCTTGTATTTTCATTGCTTGGATCATGGTATTGTCCTAAGATCCAAAATGGTAATAGATATTGTATTCTCGAAATTCTTACATAGTGAAATGGAATCTTTTGCTTAGGTAGAAAAATGTTGGCATCATTACGCTGTTCATCTTCATTTTGCATTTAAATTACATAAGCTCAAATAACAGCATGTAAGCACAATATTTACATAAGCTCAAATGTTTGTGAGTTTGATAGTAACACGTAACAAGACAACATTTTAAAATCATGAGTGTGACGGTAATACAATATTTGACGGGGACTTAGCTGTTACATTTATATATATATATAAGGCAAAAGTATTTAAGGTTAATTACAGTAATTCCAACTTTTGAATCAAATGGTTGAGGACATCAAATAAGGAAGGAAATCTACAATTTCAACGAGTTCCTGAAATGGTTGTAAAAACTAGATACAATTTTAGTTATTTACGTCAATAATATAATAATTTAATAACTAGTTTCATTAAGGTTTTTTGGAAGTCCAAATTGATAATTAGCAGAACATTAGGGGAAAATTGAAATTTTAAATAGATTAGGGATCAAATTGGAAAGAACCTGAAAATTTTTAAGAATATTCAGCCTGTTCAATATTTTAACAATACCCATTGAGGAAGCAATATCTTTTAGGGGCCAATTCGTTGGTTTCAGTTCTATCTTCTAAGTTCTTCAAGCTATGAAGCCACTAACGCCAATGTCTTTATCAATCAATTCATTGAGTCCTTCACACTCTTGGTATCCCCTAACCTCTCTCCAGCCCCACTTTCATTCAGCCTTCTTCCAGAAGATAAGATAAAATCTGATAAGAAAGAAAAGAACAAGTAACAGACATTATTTTTCTTTCCTAAAAAGGGCAGAAAAAGGTTTGGACTAACAAACAAACAAACCTATAATTAGAACATTGAGGAAGCTAAAATCTTGTTTTTGCAGCAAACAAAATGGCATGTAATCTAAGTCGGAGTATACTCAACAACATTAGATATCCTCTACATGCATGTCGCTAGACAATGCTTTTACTTTTTAGCCAAAAAAATTGTTGGAATCATAGCTTCAATAAGAACCAAGCTACTATTTCGTTCATTTATGGCTAGTTTTGCATACAGAACCAAATGAGGATTTCTTGAGAATCAAGGTCTGCAAGAGCTACTTGCCGGGGGGGTTAGGCTGTGATGCAGGAGAGAGAGAACTTGGAATAAGAGAGGCCATCTTATTAATGGAGGAAGACGGGGAGTTGCTGTCTTAATGGTTCATAAAATAGAAGAAATGATGGAGCAGGGTGAAGGGAAAGGGGAGATAAAGCTGAAGAAGGATAAATGGCGATCCTTGAAACTAAAGCATACACAAAGCGCACTATACCCACCCTCCCTAACATACAGCCTACGCTTATCGTTTAAGCAAAAACTAAAACCCACCTCTCTCTCTCTCTCTCTCTCTCTCAGGCTTTCTCTTTCTCTTTTTCCAACCCATTTCCAGCTTTTCCTGCACTTTCTGTTGATTAACTCAAACTTTGCAGGCTTGGGGTTCGGGAAAACACTCCAATCCAAAGTTCTGAGAAAAAGATGGCTTCATTTCAAACTCCAATTGGGACGCGAAGTTCCACTATGCTTGAAACTTCATGTGGATATCTACTTCAGGAGTTGCAGGCATGGATATGGAATTTGTTTGTTCTTCCTCTATTTATTTGTTTAGTTGGGCATATAATATCAGTGGCATTGACTTATATAACATAATGATAACAGATGATTTGGGACGAAGTGGGGGAAGACCAGTTTGACAGAGAGAAGGTTCTTCTGGATTTGGAACAGGAGTGTCTAGAAGTTTACCGGAGAAAAGTTGATGATGCAAATGTGTCACGAGCTAGACTTCATCAGGAACTTGCAGAAGCCGAGGCTGAGTTTACCCATCTTCTGTTGTCCCTTGGAGAACGCTCTCTTCCTGGAAGGGTACGCAATGATTTCTTCAACTATCATAATATAATCATAACATCAATCATTTTTATATGTAATTTGCAAGTTCTTACCCAATTGTATGTGTTGATTGGACGAGTCTGATCAGCCAGAAAAGATGGCGGGAACTTTGAAAGAGCAGCTTGATTCAATAACTCCAGCTCTGAGAGAGATGCGACTGAGAAAAGCAGAGAGGATGAAACAGTTAAGTGCCATACAAGTACAAATTCAGAAAATTTCTGCAGAAATAGAAGGTAAAGCAGAGAATGTTGATTCATCTCGAGTTGTCATAGAGAATAAGACCGATCTTTCTGTGACGAAACTTGAGGAATATCAGAATGAATTACAGAGACTTCACAGTGAAAAGGTTACATTATGATCCTACTGTAAATAGAAATGCACACACATACAACATAATATTTCAACTTCTAACTTCGTTCACGTACCGATTCTTATCGATTTTCTTTGGACAGAATGAAAGGCTTCAGAGAGTGGAGAAATATATAGACACAGTCCACAAATTGTCTGCAACGTTGGGGATGGATGCTTCCACGATTATCACCAAGATTCATCCAAGCTTGGACGACCCATTTGGAAGATCAAAGAACATTAGCGATTCCATTTTAGAGAAACTTAAAGGCACGGTAGAATCTCTCAAAGAAGAAAAGCAGCAACGGCTTGAAAAGGTGATGAAACTTGTACTTGCCAAACAACATATCTATGCTACATCCCAAAATCAAAATGTTCGACTGCTAGAGCTTAATCTGATCACTACACTAGCATAATTGTTATGGGAATCAGAAGCACAAAATCATCACAGCCTAGTAAAACACAGCTGTTACTGTTGTATCTAAAGAATAAAAGTCATCAGAACCAGGTGAAACCAACAGTTACAGTATCCCTACATTTAAACAAGTGGCTTAAATCTACAAATGCCAAGTTCTCCAATACTGTAAACAAAACAATATTTGATAAATTTCTGCAATCTTTTCTGCAGCTTCACAATCTAGGAAAAACATTGACAAACTTGTGGGAACTTATGGATTCACCTTATGGTGATCGCCGATTGTTTTCCCATGTAATTCGTCTATTATCATTCTCATCACCTGAAATATCTGATCCTGGGAGCCTTACGTTATACATAATTGAGCAGGTACTACACACGTGTGATAAAGGTAAATAGAAGATTTAATGAATTAGGTGCTAATTATGTGAATAAACATTTCAAGGCTGAGGCTGAAGTCAAGAGACTTGATCAACTAAAAGCAAGCAAGATGAAAGAGCTATTTATCAAGAAACAGATGGAGCTGGAAGATATATGTAACAAATCACATATGGTGATACCTTCAAGATCGGGAATGGAAAAAATAATAAATCTTATTCATTCTGGTACATTGTGTAATGGCATTAATGTTAGAGAATATCATGTACTTAATGAAAATCTATAGTAATCCAGAAACTGACTTCTATGTACTGCAAAAGGGGAAATTGATCATGCCAATCTCCTCACAAGCATGGATGAACAAATATCAAGAGCAAAAGAAGAAGCATCTAGCAGGAAGACTATAATGGAGAAAGTTGAGAAATGGATGTTAACATGTGATGAAGAGCGCTGGTTGGAAGAATATAACATGGTTGGTAATTTCCTACAAGCTATAAAAGACAACTACTTGACTGCAATCTTAATCATAAATATTAATTATAGAATTGAGCATTCAGGATCAAAGCCGATACTCAGTCAGCAGAGGTGCTCACAAAAATCTTAGGCGCGCAGAACGAGCAAGAATAGCAGTCAACAAAATTCCAGGTAATATCAGCAATAATTTCAATTAACTGCAAAAAAGGCTTTAAAGATGGGATGTCTTAAAATTGCCAGACCATATTTTAGTTCAATATATTTCCACACCAAAGACATGTGAGCATCTCCAAATGTGAACATATAACTAGGATTTTAAATGACTTCACTATCTCTCTCCTTTTGAAAATGGCGTAAACTGCAGCTTTGGTGGAATTGCTTTTGGAAAAGACTAGAAGTTGGGAGGCAGAAAGAAGTAAAGTGTTCTTGTATGATGAGGTAAGCTATATAATTACCTGCAACAATGCTGTTGTTGTCATGTGCTAATCATCATTCGAGAGAACGATTCTAAATTTTATAAATGATCTTCCAAAAGCACCTAAAAGGGTCAGAGATTCGAGGTAAAAAAAGAAAATCAAAAGCAGACAAACCAATTGAAGTACCTTCCCTGGCAATTTCAAATAGAATAGATGTAGTAGATACACAGGACTGCCATGCTTTCCCCATAAAAAGTAGTGTTTATTCTTTGTTTCTCCCACCTTGCTAAGAATACCTAGTTATCTGTTAATCACGGACAAATATGTGTCCTATTTTCAGGTGCCATTGCTAGAATTGTTGGAGGAATATAATGCCCTGAGACAGGAAAAAGAGGAGAAGAGGAGACCAAGGGTAAGTACAATGTTTCCCTGCAGCAGGCTTTTAAATATGAATTTAACAACATGGTGAAAGCGGAACTCTCCTTTCCCCCCTAATCATATCACATAGTTTTTAGGAATCACGACCCTCCACAATGGTATGATATTGTCCATTGGCCATGATCATCCCCTTAATTAGCCAATGTGGGATTCCCTCTCAATAATCCTCAACAATCCTCCCCTCGAACAAAGTAGACCATAGAGACTCCCCTGAGGCCTATGGAACCCTCGAATAGCCTCCCCTTGATCAAGGCTTGACTCTTTCTATGGAGTCCTTGAACAAAGTACACCTTTTGTTCGACACTTGAGTCACTTGTGACTACACACACCTTCGAGGCTCGACTCCTTCTCTGGAGCCCTTGAACAAAGTATACCCTTTGTTCGACACTTGAGTCAATTTTGACTACACCTTTGAGGTTCACAACTTCTTCGTTCGACACTTGAGAATGCTATTGACATGGCTAAGCTAAGGGCATGACTCTGATACCATGTTAGAAACCACGACCCTCCACAATGGTATGATATTGTTCACTTTGAGCATAAGCTCTCATGGCTTTGCTTTTGGTTTCCCCAAATAGCCTCATTCCAATGGAGATGTATTTCTTACTTATAAACTCATGATCATCCCCTTAATAAGCTAATGTGGGACTCCCTCTCAACAATTCTTAACACAATCCTCAACAATAATTTGATCTACTCTGCTGCAAAATAATTTACTATCTGTTGGTAGGTTGGTTTCAATGATAGTTTTCTTCTGGCAGGAGAAGAAAAAAGTGCCAACTCATATTCTAATCGAGCCAGAAAACTTCTATGGACCAAGGCCAAGCACCAGCAGTCGGCGTCTTTCAAATGCTAGCATTAATGGAGGTTATAGCAATGCCATAGCTTTGAACAGAAGGCTTTCTCAAGGAATCCTGCAATTTGGTTCAAACAACATAAATTCAGCAACTCAAGGCATCTCTTTCATAAAGGAAGCGAAAAAATCACCTGGAAAAAATATAGCTCGTCGACACAACCTCGATTCTCGGGTCAGAGATGAAACAGCTTCGGTGGTATCCACATTTTCTGGTCCAATATCTCCTTAGAGCTCACTACATGACTTCAAGTTCAAATGTCATTCAATAAGATAATCCCACAGAATAAAGTTTGAGAGAACCATTCTAGCCTGCGAATTAGCTTATGTCTTGACTGAAGATAGAGAAGATACTCGAGTAGTTATTCTATCTTTGAGTTTCTTGTTCATTCCAATTAATTTTTCCTGTACAAACCTCATATAGGTCCTAAAAATAACGCTTATACAGAGAGAGTGAAAGTCGACCACTACTCATTTTGATTGTCTAAATTGTATCAAATTCATCTATTCAGTACTCAAATAGTTTTGAATTTTCCCCTTCTTATGCGATATTTAGATGGAAAATTCTTGAAATGAACAGGATAATGTTTATCAAGTAATGTTCAGTAACAAACAAGATTTATCATCTAATGATAAAATATGGACTTGCTCGCAAACATAAAAACGCCAAAAGTAATTCAGAAAATGTGCTTGAGAGCTTATGCCTGTCGAAGATTGAGCGCCTATGTCTCGTTGGTCTCCGCGGACGCTGTCTTCTCTGGCCGGCGAAAGAAATCATCGATTCGGCGGGTTCCTTCAGGAGCCACTTTATCAACGACAACGCGAGTGCGATTCTCGTCCTTCGCCGGAGCATCCGACGGCTGAGAAGGAAGAGGAAGCGAATCGAGGAGAAAATCACTGATCGATTGATGCCTTTTGACGGCGATTCGGATGTGTTCAAGCTTTACGGTCTTCCGTTTCTTCTCGGCGGCGACTTCTGCAGATTTTTCAGCGAGAAGCTCCAGGAAAAGCTCAGTGGCGCATGAGACTAAAAACAGCGCTTCTGAATTCACTTTACCAATGTCCTTGTCCAGCTTCATTATCTTCTTTATTCGCCCCATCGGAAATTCCGGCCGGATAGCCTCTCCAGGTTCCTCTTCTGCCATGTCCGGACTCTGTATGAACTGCAAGAATTCGATGCCTGAAAATGGATTTTGGTTTAGTCCAGATTATTTTATCGAATCGATGAAAATCTGGGGATTTCTGATGGCGGGAAGATGAGGCTGGAAATTTTATAATGACGACTATAACCCTGAGTGCTGCTTGGCTCACGCATGTATTGGTGGGACTTTTTGGTCATTTACTGATCCTACCGGGGTTTTTTCCCGCCGTGATACAATAACTTTTTCCTTAATGTTATTTTATTCTTTTGTTATTCAAAATTATGCTTTGTTTTTTACAATTTCTAATCATTAAATTTATTTTTTTAATAAATATTTAAATTCTTAGCTAAATAAATAAATAATAAATTTTTTTAAAAATGATCTTTTTTAGTATTTTCAATAAAATGTAAAAATAAACTTTTTTAAATTTATTATTTTAAATTTTTCTAATCCTTCATTTTCTTAATTTAAATAAATATTTTGAAAAATGAACATAAAAATATCTCATATTTATATCCAACCGTAGTCAGAGGCACGTAGATTCATTCCCTCAGTTGGGTGCCTCCGTAAATTATTTATTAAAGTTAAGACGTAAATTTTGAGGACAAAACACCAACAAAGACGTTGGGCCCGCTTGAGATGTTACAAATGGTATCAGATATAGAATGTTGTACCACTGAGGACATTGATTCCCCTTGGAATGTTACAAAAGGTATTAGAGTCAAACACAGTATGCCAACGAGAACATTGGGTCCACTTGGGTTGTTACAAATGCTATTAGAGCCAGACACCGGAAGACAAGAGACGCTAGACTTCAAGGGGGTGGATTGATATCAGAGCCCGACATTAGAAGTGAACAAAGACACTGAGTCTGCTTAGGGATGTTACAAATGGTATTAGAGTAAGACACTAGACAGTATGCCTGCTTAGATTGTTGCAAATGCTATCAGAGCTAGGCACCGAATGACAAGAGATGTTAGACTCCAAGGGGATGGATTGATATCATAGCCAACCATTGGAAAGTGAACAAAGGCACTAGGCCTGCTCAGGGATGTTACAAATGGTATTAGAGTTAGACACCAAACAATGTACCCATTTAGATTGTTACAAATGTTATCAGCCAGGCACTGGACAATAAGAGATGCTGTACTCCAAGGGGGTAGATTGATATCAGAGCCAGACATCGAAAGTGAACAAAGACACTAGGCCTGCTCGGGGATGTTACAAATGGTATTAGAGTCAGACACCGGACAGTGTGCCCACTTAGATTGTTACAAATACTATCAGAGTCAAGCATCGAACGACAAGAGACGCTGGACTCTAAGGGGGTGGATTGATATCAGAGCCAAACATCGAAAGTGAACAAAGACACTAGGCCTGTTCGGGGATGTTACAAATGGTATTAGAGTCAGACACCGGACAGTGTGCCCACTTAGATTGTTACAAATGCTATCAGAGCCAGGCACCGGACGGTAAGAGACGCTGGAGTCTAAGGGGGTGGATTGATATTAAAGCCATACATCAAAAGTGAACAAAGACACTGGGCCTGCTTAGGGATGTTACAAATGATGTTAGAGTTAGACACTTAACAATGTGCCCGTTTAGATTATTAACAAATGCTATCAGAGTTAGACACGAGACATCGGACCCGAGAAAATTGAGCGTGAGATCACAGTCTTTTTTAAATAGAATAATTTAAATTTTTGATTTCATTTTCCTAAGCATTGAAACTAAAAAAAACAACAACAACAAACTCCCAAAACATTGGAACACATCAAAGCAAGAAGATGGCTAAAACTTGGAACTTAATTAATTAACCAAAGAAGAACGACGAACAGCAAAGTTTAAGAGAGAGAAGGAAAAAAAAAAAAAAAAAAAAAAAAAAAAA